AACAGAAATGAGAATTGAGCTGTGTGTTAAAATCAGTGCTACAATAGCTTAAAAATGATGTCAAGCTCGAGTGCAAAAATTAGAAATTATGAGTTTGATGCAAGTATGATTAATTCTGCAAATTAGCTCCCCCCTACAACCATTGATCAAGTTGGATTGTCATGATCCCTGAGGCCTAAATAATTCCTGCCCTGGCTATGGAAGTTCCATTGATAGGATACTAGGTGCATGAGCCGTTGTGGGCTCAGGTGGCCCATTTTCTGTGAAATGAAGCTTTAGTCGTGTACTGGAGATGTCCCGCTCTCTTCGTTCAACGCTGGGGCTTAACTGTTTGAAATCGAGTTATGTAATTTCGAATCTTTCATGCACATTAATTAACTAGGACTGCTTTCATTTTAGAGACGAATTAAATAGAAAATTATAGATTGTTTTAGGATGGACCTTTAAAATAATAAAATAAGGCGAGCCTCGCCTAAATGCATAAATTGTGGGGCCCTCGATAGATGTATATATTTAAATCCTTAGATTTCAGGAACGGGCCGCTTAGTGAATTTCACGGTCCTCCCCAAAGATAATAACGCGCTAGTCACTTTAGGCGCGCTTTTAATAAATTACTTTCTTAAACTCGGGTGTACATTTATGTGACCCAAATCCAAATCTCAACGGAGTCAAAATGTGCCACTAACCATGGGTGCATTTATGTGACGTGGTTCGAGACGTGTTTTCACGACGTTGTAATTCTCATTAAAAATAATAATAATAATAAAAGCGGTAAAAAGTTAAAATTTGCACATAAGGTTCAACATGTATTAAAATCAGATAAATAAGCCGAACATGACAATTGAGTAACCGTGCTAGAACCACGGAACTCGGGAATGCCTAACACCTTCTCCCGGGTTAACAGAATTTCTTACTCGGATTTCTGGTTCGCGGACTGTAATACAGAGTCAATCTTTTCCTCGACTCGGGATTCAACCGGTGACTTGGGACACCATAAATCTCCCAAGTGGCGACTCTGAATCTTTAAATAAAATCCCATTTTGATTGTCCTTTATTTGGAAAAACTCCCTCTGCGCCCCTGCGGGTGCGGTGAAAAAGGAGGTGTGACAAATAAGACCTAATCCCTCAAGCCAAGGTTAACCACGGCATTTACCTCGCTCCAACGGCCAAACTCAAAGCTCAACCATGGCTTTTTCTCTCAAACGAGCCTCTGAACCAGTAAAATCTAGCAAATTACCAACCAAACGATTCAATTAAAGCCTTAGGAACTACCCATGATTGCAAAGAAATCAATTTAGACCATTTTTGAAAAAGTCAACACCTGGGCTCGCTTGGTCCAAACCCGAAATTTGGACAAAAACTTGATTACCCATTCACCCCCGAGCTCGAATATATAATTAGTTTTGGAATTCGACCTTAATTTGAGGTCTAAATCCCCAATTTTCCAATTTCCTAGTTTCTACCCAAAAATCCCCAATTCCACCATGAAAACCTTAGATTTTAAGTTGAAATCTTGTAAAATAAAGTTAAAGATTGAAAGAAACTAGCTTAGAATCACTTACCAATATTTTGGGGAAGAAATGGTCTTTGAAAAATCGCCTAGAGAGTTTCTTGTTTTGAAAGTTTTGAAAAATGAGAAAAAATCCCGTCTAAGTCAAGTTTTACCAGCTGCAGATGTCACAAATGCGGCCTGGGCTTTGCAAATGCGAAGCCCCAAATACGAGGAACGCATCGCAAATGCGAACCTTTCACATTTCTGCCTCCTTCGCAAAAACGAAGAAATATTTGCAAATGCGATCCAGTGATCAAATTTGCGAAGAGTGCCTCCCACCCAGTCCCCATCGCAAATGCGGAGAAACGTTCGCAAATGCGAACCTAAGGTGGCCCAGCTTCTCTTCGCATTTGCGATGAGAAGCTCGCAAATGCGAACCCCTCAAAGGTCGCAAATGTGATGCCTGATCTCGTAAATGCGAGATCAGAGGCCTGCAACAAAATTTGATACACCAGCAACTTCTCCAAGTCTAATTTCATTCTGAAACTGACTCGATCCCTCGGTGCTCTAAAACAAAAGTGCTTACAAGTCTAAAAATATCATACGAACTTGCTCGCGCGATCAAATCGCCAAAATAACACCTAGACGAATTTAGTACCAAATCAAATAACATTTTTCAAGAAAACTTTAAAACTTCTATTTTCTCAATCGGACGTCCGAATCACGTCAAAATAACTCTGTTTCTCACCACATTTCATAAATAAGTCATAAATATGGTATTGGGCCTATATCGGGTTCCGAAACTAAAATACGGACCCGATATCTAAAATGTCAAACCTTGGTCAAACATTTCCATTTTATTAAGCCTTTAACTTTCAAATTTCAACAAAGTCCGATATCTCAGGCTAGGGACTTTCGATTTCGATTCCAGGCATACGCCCAAGTCTCAAATCACGATACAGACCCATAGGGACCGTCAAAATACGAATCCGAGTCCGTTTACCAAAAATACTGACCGAAGTCAACTCAAATAAAGTTTTTAAGCAAAATTTCTTATTTTATCAACTTTTAACATAAAAGCTTTCTGGAAACACGTCTGGACTGCGCATGCAAATCGAGGAGGGTAAAAATGAGATTTTTAAGGCTTAAAATCGCAGAATTGAGTTCTAAAACATAAGATGACCTTTCGGATCATCACAACCCCAGGCAGAAAATCAATTTAAGGCTACTTTTATAATAGGATGGAAAGCTTTATAATTTGGTTTATTTAATTTGTTTAAAACTAGCTTAGGAGTATTTGGGTCATTATTAACCCAAATATCAACCATAGTATAAATGTAGTATCTTATTTCCAATTTTTGGAGTCTGGAAGATGCTAGGGTGCATTTAGAATTTTAGATGGATGAATAAGCCAATTGAATCCTTATTTTGTGAACTATCAAGGTAAAAACATAAATAGGCAATATTTAAGATTTTTTTTGAAAAACCTGGCAGCAATAGTTTTTTACTTGACATGGCAGCTAAATAATTACGTTCTTTAATACGTACAATAAATAATGCTCTCCTTATGTGCAGTAAAAGAGGAATAAAATTTACTACTCCCTAAAAATAAGCAAATTAAACGGTAACCTCCCTAAAATAAGTGCCTGCGATATTTACTCTCTCACCAAAATCATGGTAGTATCTTATTGGTATAATAGGGTATACTGATATTTTCAGAATATATTATAGTTGTACAAATTATTTGAATAATATACTACTTGTATACTATTTATACAGCATATATAAATGGTATATACATATGATATAATTATCTAATTAAGTATAACATGAAAAATCTATTATTGGTATATAATATTATATTATTTGGATATGCATAATACATAGTCTTTAACCATATATTCGCTGAATACATGAGGAATATATACGTGATATATTCGGAATGTGTGAAATTAAATAATCTAATTTGATGTACTTTTGTTGCATAAATATAACTATGCAAATACCATATATATTATTAAATACACACATCATATATAAATAGTATATTTTATATATAGGAAATATATGTGATATAACCTGTCTATATATGTATACGTAATACGCATCACATACATCTCATATATTAATAATTTCAGTCTTTGCTTTCTCCGCTGAATCCCTACTTCACCATGTCTCCTGCATCCAATTCCATGGCCACCAAAGAACAAAGAAACCCCCAAACCCGCTGTACACCACCACCAATCTTCATCTCAATCCCACTTTTCAGTCACTTCTTTCTCAAAAATTTCTTACTTGCTGCTCTTAAAAATAATGGATTTCATTATAGAAGACAGAGAATTAATTTTCTGACATGTTCGGTTTGAGATATTTGAAACATCGAAAGAGCCGGTTGAATTTGGAGATTTAGAATATAAACTTCGGAGAGAGAAAGAATATCTATTCCATGATTTGTGATACTGTTAAATCATTAATTGTAAGGCACAACGTTTACAACATGCTAAGATTGTAAAAAAAATTCCTATTAATGGAATAATCAAAAAGTAGTATCATTTTCTTAAATACTAACTTAAAAATGATCAAACGTGTATTTTTCCCATAAAATGTCCTAGCCGCAAAATGCGTGTTTTATAACCTTTTCTTTTTGATTTATCGAAAGAAAATATTTTAATACTTATAGTTTTAAATATGTCATGATATTCACATGGTTATAAAAATATTTTATTAAGAGTAAAAAAAATTAATTATTTTCAATCACTGATTTAATGATATACTTTGCCATGATAAATAACGTAAGAGTGCACGGCCAAGATTAATAGATGACCCTATATATGGGGGCAGAGCCAGTAAAAACTATAATGTTGTGGTAAAAAGAGTTTAAAACTCATTTAATTCATAAGTTTCAATCTCAACTATACCATTGTAATATTTCTTGAATACCTATTTATAAATTCCTATCTCCCCCTGCCTATATGACTACTATCTTATAAGGAACTTGAATTATTGTAATAACTAAGATATTAAAATTATGTTTACTGCTAGAGCAGCAAAGTGGCTGTAGTTTAGTGGTGAGAATTCCACGTTGTGGCCGTGGAGACCTGGGCTCGAATCCCAGCAGCCACATTATATTTCTAACTCCTTACCTTTTGTAACTGCGAGCTTACGGATTAGTCATTATGGTGTTTTCGCAATAATCAGATTATTACTTAAAACACTAATTATGAACTGATATTTGGAAGCGAGTCCTAGGTTAGGTTGCACTAAAATGGTAGAAATTTTAGACGAGACTCGTCAAACTTTGTTAGAGCCAGTGGCGCACTATTCGAAACTCGTAGGATAATGGGCGCTCCCCTCTACACTTCTTACTTAAATATCGGGTTTTCATGTTCTAAACCTTGTACTAATAAGAACTATAAGAAAACTAGTAATGAGAATTCTAGAAATTAATGTATAACTTAACCGTGTATTTCTATGGTCATTTCAACAGATAATGTCATATAGATAGTGCTTTCTGCTGAATGAAATACTTAGTAAATAAAAATAGCATATCATGAAAAATGCCTTATAGCAATATAATTTACCCTCTTAGTCTCACACAATCACCTTATTCATTCCTATTAGATATAGATTTAACACAATATATAAACTTCTTACACCATCAGGTTAAGTTGACCTGTAACAGATTGTAAGTGTTTCACAATAGATGGCATACTTAAGCTCCATCATCGTACGCGTCTATCTTGGATGCAGTTCTGTAATGGATACTTCATTCTCAGACAATAATGGTATCGAGTTGCTTGTAGAATATTGATCTGATTCTAGCCCTTTTGGTAGCATCTCTGTTCGACTACGAAAAAAGAATGCAGGTTGCTGAGGCGCCGGCTTGGTAACAGAGTAACTATTAAGCATGAGCACCACAGATTCCATTGTAGGTCTTTGATTAACATCATCTTGAACACATAGCAATCCAATATGTATACATTGTATCACTTCATTTCTTGAGTATGAATCTCCAAATGTTGGATCCATTATATTCAATGGTGTGCCGTCCCTCCAATTCTTCCAAACCTATAAGATTTATCGATCAAATGATTCAAAATTAGCATCAGCAAGCAACTTATCTAGCAGAAGCTGCATTTATAACTTTAACCAAGTATCGCAGAAAGTCATAAACTATCTTTTTGTAACCAAGAAATCACTCAATTTTGCGATTATTGAAAGTCACTAGTGGCGGCCAGGGGGATTTANCCAAAAGAATAGCTCCGTGGTAAGGGGGTTCAGAACCTTTGTAAGGTTGCTGGTTCAATTTCCACTGACCATAGTCGCTTTTAATTTTTTAACTTTTTCTTTTTTGTATCCCCTAAGCGAAAATCATGCCCCTGCCACTGATCGCAGCAACATCTTCTTGTGCATGATTATAATTGGTGACTTAATATGATACTTAGACAAAGTTGAGCATTTCTTGTATGTAAAACAGTTTAGTGACATCAGGTGATACTTGCACAAAGTTGAATTATTCTATAGTTAATTTAGTGCTTTTCAATAAAATGAACGTTCACTGATCATCCATGAAATTTATCCTGAATGTGAACTTACATAGCTAAGAAGATCTTCAGCTCCATCTGATTGGTAAAATGAGCTATTCTTCTTTCCACTTATGATCTCCAAAAGTAGAACACCAAAGCTGAAAACATCAGATTTAACAGAGTATTGTCCATGCATAGCATACTCCGGCGACATGTAACCGCTATAGTACAACAATCAAGAAGAAATGTTAAGCTAGAAAAAGGATATTTTTTAAAGGAAAACAGACCTTTAACAACTTTCAGATTCTTAGTAGAAGTTGCAAATGTGCCTATATGCAATGATTCAATGAGCAATGTGAAAAGAGAAACAATAGAATCTAACTAGACAGGAAAGAGGATATATTCAATAGCTAATTCAAAACTTACTATGTCCCAACAATCCTGTTTGTTATTTCTTCACTTTGATCAATTTCAAATATTCTCGCCATTCCAAAATCTGATATTTTGGGATTCATATCGGCGTCTAACAGTATATTGCTTGCTTTGAGATCACGGTGTATAACTCTTAGACGCGAATCCTCATGAAGGTAAAGTAGTCCACGTGCAATCCCTCCTATAATCTTGTAACGTCGAGACCAATTCAGTAGCTGCTGCTTTTCAGGATCTAAACATTTATCAGAAACAAAGTTACGTTTAGGCAAAAAGGTGTAAATCTTGGAATCAAGAAAACTAGCAATGACTACTTGAACTACCTCTTAAAGATCTTAAGAAATCACTCTATGTAGAATCTTGCATGTAAGTTGCATAAGCTAGATTTTAACTAAATGCATCTTTGTGATACATAGGCCAAAAAAGAAAAAGAAAAATAGTTCGGCGTACTAAGCGCCGGCTATATGTGCGATCCAAGGAAGGATCGGATCACATTGGATCTATGCACACAGTCTTACCTTGTCTTTTTGCAATAGGCTATTTCTTTCCATTATAAGAAACTTTAGCAACAAACCTAGTGCAATCCCACAAGTGGCGTCTGGGAGGGTAGTGCGTACCCAGACCTTGCCTCTACCTTGTGAAGGTAGAAAGGTTATTTCCGGCAAACCCTCAGCTCAAGGAAATCATAGCAGCAGCATTGTTGAAAAACAATACGGTAGCGTAGAAGCCATGGAAAAAGAGGCAGCAAGATAAAATAAGAAAATAAGATAGCCGAAGCAAAAGAAACAATTAGTAGTAACAAAAATCTAAGAATATGAAAGTACGAGAATACTATTCATACTACTGCCATGGAAGATTTTAGCAACAAGAAGAATAAAATGAATATTAGCAGATTGAAAGTTGAAACCAACCAAATAAGAAATAGTCAAGGCTTTTGTTGGGGACAAATTCATAGACAAGTAGCTTTTCCTCTCCTTCAAAGCAATATCCCAATAGTCTCACTAAATTTCTATGTTGAAGCTTCGCGATCAATACGATCTCATTCTTAAATTCTTGTGCACCTTGCCCTGAATTTCTCGATAGCCTCTTCACAGCTATCTCTTGTCCATTAGGAAGTATACCCTGAGTGTGTAATAAGATATCGAATTATCAATACAAGTTAAGAATATAATGGAAGATGGACTGAATTGACAATATTTGGATGTGTTTGAGACGACTGAAGTCATTTTCGATAAAAAATAAGTGAGGGAATTCACAACGGAAAATGACTCTCATGGAAAACATTGTTATGGAAAAATAATTTTCGTCGTAGCAAATACACCCCTTATGTTCTAAAACTGAATTCACCTTGTAGACAACACCAAATCCACCTTCACCAATTTCGTTGTCAGCTGAGAAGTTAGTCGTCGCAACTTGAATAGAGGTCAACTGATATTGCAGTGATTCAGCAGTTGAAATTTCATTTCCATCTACACAAACAAATAAATTCTCCGAGTTTCAGCAGCTGCTACTTTGATTACTTTTAGTAACAGTACTACTAAAAAACTGGAATAAGCTACGAATTTCATCTCTAATTTTGTAGGACGAAAATTGTTCTAGTTATGCCAATTTACCTGTCATATCTTGTGCAACATTGAATTTTTGCGAAGCTCTTCTTCTTAGCCAACAGAAACAAAAAATAAACAGTAGAACTGAAACAGCAATAGGAACAACTATGGCAACTATTACTCCAGATGCAATTCCCCCTTTTCCTGCATCAGTTAAAAATTGTTTTATTCAAACATTAAACCTACAACAACAACATAGGCCAAACATTAAACTTAGATTAGGAAAAAAAATATAAGGTCCCAAAGAGAAAAGCGAAACAATAAATAAGTCACTAGAATTCATTGTGGTTGTCATTATCATCGTAGTTCTTTTTAAACTGTTGTGATTATGCTCAGAGGTGGAGCCAAGATTTAAAGTTACTGGGTTCGTAATTCTAGTATTTTTATGGTACTGGGTTCTAAAGTAAAAATTTGTATCTATTTTGATTTTTTAAGACAAATACACTGTTTGCACTAAAGCTACTGGGTTCGGCCGAACCCATAATCGAAGCTGGGGCCCCGCCCCTGATTATGCTATCCCTGAGCTAAGGATCTATTGGAACAATCTCTACCTTTATAAGGTAAGGAGTAAGGTCTGTAAATATTGTATACATCACCCTTCCTAGATTCCAATTGTGGGACTACACTGAGTATATATTATTATTGTTTTTGTCACAACAACAACAACAAATCCAGTGAAATCCCACAAGTATGATTTGGGGAGGGTAAAGTGACCATCGACTCAAGAAAAGTGAAAATGAAGTAATAAACAGAGATATAAGAGTACGACACTATAAGAATAGAGTCATTCTTACTGGAAATAATGACACTGTGTAATAGCAAGAGGTTAGTGTTGAAGTTTGGCAAAATGCCAAAGTCCCACATTGGTTGGGAGTTAAGTTTGGGGGGGATTTTTTCCCTATAAAAGAAGGCATAATGTTTAGGATTGAAACACACCTCTCATTTGCCTTCTCATTTGTTTAAGGCATTTGTATCTTTTCTCTTTAGTATTATTTCACTTGTATTTTGGAGTGGAATAAAATATTGGTTGTGTCCGAGGAGTAGGCAAAATTAGCCGAACCTCGTAAATTCTGGTGTTTCCTTTATTGTTGCTTTATTGTCTTATTTATTATTTGGTGGCTGTCATAATTTTTGGTATAGTAGTTGTGACTTATTCACACTATATACATTTGGCTTCCGCAACAATTGGTATCAGAGCCAAGGTACTGTCTAAGTATGCTCTGTGGTTGCAGCATAGTCTGATCTTCCACATCAGAAAAGATTTATCTTGGTAACTGAGTCAAGGTTCTGTCTGAGTATGCTCTGTGGTTGCAGCTTAGTCTGATCTTCTACATCAGAAAGGAAATAATCTTGATTTGTGTCGTCAGCTATTAAATAATATTTGTGTCAAATATGGGAGACAATAAACAAGAAGAATCTACATCAAGTGTCAACAATACGTCATCATTGGCATCTTCGCTTATGACAAGAATTGTGTCAAATGCGAAATTTGATGGTAGAAATTTTTTACGGCCCGGGCATTTTGGGATGTGGCAAGGCGAGGTTCTAGATGTCCTTTTTCAACAAGGGCTAGATCTGGCCATTGAAGAAAAGAAACCAGATGTTATTGGAGAAGAAGATTGGAGAATTATCAACCGTGTTGCTTGCGGTACCATTCGATCCTACCTTGCTAGAGAGCAGAAATATCCATACACAAAGGAAACTTCTGCAAGTAAATTATGGAAAGCACTGGAGGATAAATTTTTGAAGAAAAACAGTCAAAATAAATTGTACATGAAGAAGAGACTGTTTCACTTCACCTATGTTCCTGGTACCACGATGAATGAACATATCACCAGTTTCAATAAGTTGGTCACAGATTTGCAAAATATGGATACAACTTATGATGATGGTGACTTGGCCTTGATGTTGTTGGCGTCACTTCCTGATGAGTACGAGCACCTTGAAACTACTCTACTCCATGGAAATGACGAAGTTTCTCTCAGAGAAGTTTGTTCGGCTTTGTACAGCTATGAACAAAGAAAGCGAGAAAAACAGAAGGGCGGAGAAGGAGAAGCACTATTTGTGAGGGGTCGTCCTCAAAATCAAACGAGGACAAAGAAGGGAAGATCCAAGTCAAGATCCAGACCCAGCAAAGATGAATGTGCCTTTTGTCGAGAAAAAGGGCACTGGAAGAAAGACTGTCCGAAGTTGAAGAATAAGGCCAAACATAACAATGGAAAGGCCATTATGGATTCAAATGTAGCTGATTGTGATGATTCAGACTTCTCATTAGTTACAACAGAGTCATCAACATCATCAGACATATGGTTGATGGACTCGGCTTGTAGCTATCATATGTGTCCCAACAGGGACTGGTTCGTGGAATTTCAAGAAGGAGAATATGGAGTCATCCACACAGCGGATAACAGCCCTCTTACCTCATATGGCATTGGTTCAATACGATTAAGGAACCATGATGGAATGATCAGAACATTGATAGATGTTCGATATGTACCGGATTTGAAGAAGAATCTCATCTCTGTGGGAGCCCTAGAATCAAAAGGGTTCAAAATCATTGCAGAAAATGGAGTGATGAGAGTATGCTCCGGTGCACTAGTGGTAATGAAGGCTAATCGGAAGAATAATAATATGTACCGCTATCGTGGCAGTACAGTTATTGGGACAGCGACAGTGACATCCAGTGACGACAAAGAGGCAGAAGCAACCAAGCTATGGCACATGCGCTTGGGACATGCTGGAGGAAAATCCTTGAAAACTCTATCAGATCAAGGATTGTTAAAAGGAGTAAAGGCTTGCAACTTGGAGTTTTGTGAGCATTGTGTCAAAGGGAAACAGACAAGGGTTAAATTTGGTACAGCGATCCATAATACTAAAGGCATTTTGGATTATGTACACTCTGATGTTTGGGGTCCTTCCAAAACACCTTCATTGGGTGGGAAGCACTATTTTGTAACCTTTGTTGATGATTTTTCTCGAAGAGTGTGGGTGTATACAATGAAAAACAAAGATGAAGTGCTGGGAATTTTTCTCAAATGGAAGACGATGGTGGAGAATCAAACAGGCAGGAGGATCAAGTGTATTCGCACAGACAATGGAGGTGAATACAAAAATGATCATTTCAATAAGGTCTGTGAAAATGATGGCATCGTCCGACACTTCACTGTTAGACATACACCACAACAGAATGGAGTGGCAGAACGTATGAACCGGACCTTGCTGGAGAAGGTACGGTGTATGTTGTCCAATGCTGGCTTGGGCAAAGAATTTTGGGCTGAGGCAATTACATATGCATGCCACCTCATTAATCGTCTACCATCTGCTGCTATTGATGGCAAAACACCATTTGAAAAATGGTACGGAAAACCTGCTGTAGATTATAACTCTTTGCACGTGTTTGGCTCAACTGCATATTATCATGTGACGGAGTCAAAATTGGATCCAAGGGCAAAGAAGGCTATTTTTATGGGAATTACTTCTGGAGTCAAAGGATATCGCTTATGGTGTCCTATGACAAAGAAAGTAATATTCAGCAGAGATGTTACCTTTGATGAATTTGCTATGGTAAATAAGGTAACAGAAGATACCAAACAAAATAAAGGTGCTTATAAGTAGGTGGAGTTTGAGGGAATATTTATTTTTCCTACACAAGAAGCAGAGGAGGAAACAAATGAAGATTACCCTCTGGAAGGAGA